CACCCCATGGGTGCAGGGCTGTGGGGTGCATGCAGTGGGGGTCTCCTTGCCATGCTGGGGCTCAACCCAGCACCCAGGCTGCCTGCAAAGGGGGATGAAGGGGGTTTTGCCCTGGGGGCTTCCTTGAATTTTCCCTGCAGCAAACCCTTCCCATGCACCCAAGCATCCACAGAGCAGGGACTCAGGGGTACAGGGATACTTAGGTCAGGCCACCCCACCCACCTAGTGCAGCCTTTGCAGCCCCCTTTGGGGCCAGCTCTCTGGGGAAGATGTAGCTGCTGGGAATGGTGCCTTTTCCTCTCATATGCACACAGTCACGATGGTTAGTTAAGTGGCTTGTTTTTCATTAGGAAAAGACTGTTGCTAGGCCACCCTGGTCCCCGGCGTTGGTCGGGAAGGGGTTTTGCAGCCAATCCGGGAGGCTGTGCTGGGGTTTGCACACGCACACATCACGCACACCCCTCCTGCAGCCCAGGTGCTAAGCGGCTGCCAGATGTGCCTATTCATTTCCCACATCACACCTATCCACTTCTTCCGGCCAAGAGGCTTATTAAGGCTCCTGAGATTTTAATTTAGAGTCAGCTGTGATTTTTCTGCCTTCTGGATTAGAGGAGAGGGGTGATGGTGGGTGAGGGTCGAGTCCTCCCTCTGCTATGACTGATTTGGTCTCTGGTGAGTTGCCTGAATGAAGCCTCCACTGTCTTCAAACAGGGTGAATCATCCCTCTGTGCCCCACAGTGAGGGGACAAACTGCCTCAGGTTAGGGGCTTGCTCTGGGCTGTTATTAGGCATCAGTATTGCTCTACCCTAAGACAATCATGGTGTGATTTTTAGGGATGTGCAGAACCAAGTGTTGGTGGTTTCCTTTCAGCTTGGGATATTCTATCATTCTGTGACTTAGGGTTTACATGGTGTTTCAACCACATGTACTGTGATAAGCAGAGCTAACAGCAAGGCAAACCAGGTGTTTGGTCAGGGGATGCTGCTCCCGTCTGTGATCCCCACGCAAAAATCCCCTGGCAGCTGGGAGAGGTGGTGGACCATGGTCAGGCATTGGTGATGCAGGTCAGACAGACACATCTCTGGCAGAAGATCTCCTGGTACAGTTGCTAGTCTGATATGGTGCTATTCCAAGTACCCTGCAGTCTGACACCCACCCAGCAGAAGCAGAACTTGGTAAATGGACAAGGCAGGGTGCAAGCAGAGTCTGGGATGTGAGCAGGATGGAGCCTTTTACAGCTGCAAAACTCTCACCGTGCAGGATAGGAATAGACACCAAAACATGCAGAAAACTGTGAACAATCCACATGAAACTCAGTTTCTGAGTGTCCTCCATGAAACCCCCCATGTATCAGGAGGGAAGTTCAATAAAAGCAAGAGAAAGCATTGAATTGTGTCTGCTGCTCAAGGAGAAGCTGTTGCTAGACAGAAGTAAAAGCCGTCGCCATCAGCTCCCATTGGCTCAGCCCCACTCCAATGACAGGCTTATCGGTTACCTGCACTCGCAGCTGGCTGGAAAAACTCATTTGACAATGTTTTCCCTCTGATAAAAAAAGCCCAATGCTGGATTCATGGGTTTGGGTTAATCATTGTTCAGGGTTGTTGAGATAACAGCTGAGTTTTCTGCAGATTCGTCAATTATCACAAAATTTAGCATAAATGGTGAGCCAGCCTAGCTCTCCTTTGCCCACCTAAAGATCCTCAGTCTGCCTAAAGATGCATTGGGCTGCTCGTGTGATGAGCCAGAGAGTGTGATGAGCCGAAGTGTGTTAAGCCACAGCAGCTCCAAGCTGGCATGTAGGTGAATATTCACAAACACCTGTGAAAATCCTGATTAGCTCTCAAAGGGTGAAAATGGGGTGAATGTTGCCATTTAGATTATTCAGAGCAAACATAGTTGGCAGGGAGTGGATTGCCACTACTCCTAATCATCCATGGTGGGGTTTATTCAACAACAGCCCTGTTTTGGGGGGCTACAGTGCACAATGTTTGGGTTTTCCAAGCCCTTCTAATCTGATGTAAATAGGAACTAACCACCCCAAATGAATTTTTTCACCTTCTCCAATAGCTGGAGAGCACATCATAGAAACAAAGCTCGCAGGGTGTGTCAACACCAAGGAGATGCCCCCAAATTTTTTCCCCAAAGCAGAGCGGGTATTTCAGCCAGGGGGGTTAAATCAGTGAGGCAGGAATGGGGACAAGCTCTCAGAGGTGGTCTGGGACCTTCCCAGTGTCTCATGCCACTGTGCAAGCCCAGGGCTGCACTGCCAGGAGGGCAGGCAGGCAGCGTGCAGGCAGTCTGGGGGAGCTCTGCCGTGGGCAGGCAGGGAAAAAGCTGCCCTGGATCACAGCAGATGAGTGATTTGAGAAATCTGTCCCTTGCCTAGAGTCCGACCAGGCTTACTGTTGGAAGTGGATCGCACCGAAGTGTTTGGGTGGTCAAGACTTTAGAAATGCCATTTTTTTCCTTAATTATGCCTTAGGCTGACGGCAAGGCAGGCTGAGTCACAGGCTGATAAAGCCTTGTAGCCTTACACTTCCTTTGGCAGCTTTCTGCAGCTTCACCCCAACACAACTGTGTCTCACATCGAGCCATCATGGGGCTTAAGGCAAGTCAGTGCTATGGAGTGGTGAGACAGGGGGGCTGGGGGGGTAGTAAGGAAGGGCTCAGGTGGACAAACAAGTTGGGAGCCATGGAGTGCCCCATACAAGCTCCCCACGAACTCATGTACCCCCCAAGGGGATGTGATTACATGGGTCAGGTTATATGGCCACGAGCAAAGCATCCCTCTGCTGTGTCTTTCATTCAGATCTGCTTTCCCAGGAGAAGACAGTGCTCCTGCATCGCCTTAGGAATGCCATCGTCTTCTGACAGTGGCATGCAAACCCTACAGCTTCACCTCCCTCTTGCCACACTGTGAGAGGTGGAAATGGCAGAGAAGAGGAAACAGAGAAAAACCTGCACCAGCTGTGCTCCTCCTGCTCCTCTCCGTGTGCTCTGTGGGGTTCAGTCCCTCCCACACCCTGCCATGTTCTGCTGATGTTGCACAGCATCGTGCTGGGGCTCAGCTGAGCTGTACCCCGAGGCTGGCAGAGGGTGGTGCTGGCCCCATTTTACAGCTTGCTGCATCAGGAACACACCTGAGACAAACTGGAACACGCAGGATTTAAAGACCTACTGTGGGGCCATGTTTCCTACCATGTCTGGTGGAGAGTGCCCAGACCACGAGCTCACAGCTGTTGAAGGATGGTTGTGTTTGGGCCACTGGGAGGACAGAGATTTTTAGACATGTCCAATATGTTTCACAGTGTTTCTGAGCTGTCCCCAGGTTCCTCTGCCAGGCAGGGAGGAGTTAAGATGGGAAGTGCAAGATGCTCTGGTAATGGCACTGATGTGTGCGTCAGGTGTGCCTGCGTCACCCAGCTGCCTTGGCCGCTTCCCAAGGCTGGGGCTGAGCTCTCCTTACCTCCCACTGGCCGCTGGGAAAAGCCTGGGACAGTCTAGCCAGGGTAATGGACTTCATTCCAGTGCTGCCTGTCATACCCCACTGTGCTGCACTGAGCTCCCCAAGGTCCCTGGGGTGCTGGCAGCCATCCAGCCCCCTCTGCCACCTCCTGTCACACAGCCTGGGCAGTGGAACTGTGCTAAAGGGCTGTCCTTGAAGGCTGCCCTTGAGGCACGCAGCAAAAAAACCACCAATTTTCCACAACCGCAGCTGTTCAGTTCACTGGGGAAGTGCACAACTCCCTGTGTTCAGACCCAAACTCTTCTCTGGTGCTTGCACATCCAGCTGGGGCACATCTGTAAAGTCACAGGTACCTACATATGTCACCCACAGGCAGAGTCACTGCAGGTGAGCATCACCATATCTCCACACCATTACAGCAACACATGCCACAGTCCAGCAACATTCTCACCCCGAAGAGCAGGCACAGCTCTTGCTTCTAGACCCTGAGGGGAGGGACGCTGACTTGTGAGGTAAGCAAATCCCAGCAGTGCCTCTCCTGAACGCAGCAGGGAGCTCAAGCTAGGACAGCCCAGCTGCTGGAGGGAGACACAGCAGGACGCTTTCTCTTGCACTGGGCTTCCTCCAAGCAGCTGGAAGTGCTGGACCACAGGGCTCTGGCCATCCCTTGCTCCTCCTGCCTTCATAGTGATGTCCCCAGAGCAGAGGGGATGAGCTTGTACCCCAAGGAACTGCTTACTCCAGCTACTGTCAGACCACTCAAAGCACCTTTTCCAGTTGCAGATGGATTTTAAGCCTTGGAGCATGGCATGGTACACAGGCAGCTGTATGCCAATCTCATCCCTGCCCTCTCCCTCCTGGAGAACTGCCAGATCAGATCATGCAGAATGTACACAAGGGTTTAGCAAGAACAGTTTTTAATTCAGAACTGGACAATTATGTGAATAGTTTATTTTAAATGAAGTGCATTCTATGCTCTTGTTCAGGCTGACATTGATTAGACCCAGCTTATTCTCAGGCTTCAGTGTGCAAAGAAAGCGAGGAGGAAAATAGTTGTTTACTGGTCCCCAGATGGTTTGCAGCCTTTGGGCATCAGCAAAACACCTCCATCCTTCCACAGATAAACTTGCCACTTGCCCTCTGGGAAGGGGATAACCCCATGAAGGGCATGGGAGGTGTCCTGGTATCTCCCACTGCACGCCCAGAGGCTCCTCCAGGCTGACACCAGGACCCTGCTCATCCCCAAGTGACAGATGAACACTGTGCAGCCACAGCTGTTATTTCTGTGCGACAGCAAGAGGCTGCAGACAGCATTTTTTGGAGATTGCTGTTGTCCAGGTGTCACCATGTCTCCATCCCTGAGCAGAGCTGGGGGTGCTTGACCCCACTGCACAGCTGCCCACAGCAGGGCTGGGTACCAGGCAGAGCCCATGGGGCACAAGCCCTGGGGAAGGAGGTCAGAAGTTACCTCCACCTTTAATAGATGAAGGCACCAGGATGGCCTGAAACACATGGAGAAGACACTGTCCCCCATCACAGGCCACTTGCCATCAGGTCTGAGGGCCAGTACCGGTCATCCATGTACTGGCTGCTGTCTGCAGTGGGGTCTGTGACGGGGCTGGGGGGCCGAGGGGGCAGGCTACGGGCCAGCTCCTTCTCCCACTGCACCTCCACCAGTCTGTACAGCTCCATGGCTGTCTGAGCATCCTCCACTGACGAGTGTCCTTTGCAGCTGACCTGAGCAAAGGGGGAAAAGCCTTGTTAGATAAAGGGGGCAGCAAAACCCCTACATCATGTTTGCTTACTCAGGACACAAGTGCTGGGGGGTTTTTGGAGACAGCAAAGGTTTGATGCAGCCAAGGAGATACAAGAATCTCTTCAGCACTTTCTGAAGGACAGAGGTCCTGTCCCTGTCTTACTGAGATGTTTAATGGTCAGCCTAGAAGGTCCTGGACTCTCCCAGCCTATTCACAGTCAGGAGCACAAGGTGACCAAGATTCATCTCCATCTCAGAGCACCCATGGAGATAGAGGGGACCAGGCTGACCACACAGGTTCACAGCTAACCCAGGAACTGCTCTCCATCTCAAAGTTCCTGGTGCTTACCTGGATCTTTTTATGGAGCAGGTGCCTGGCCAAGTTCTTGAGCGAGACATTGGCCCTGACAGGCAGTCCTGCTCTCTGCTTCAGCATAGGGATCTGGCTAGTGTCTCGAGTCCTGTCTTTCGGGTGGAAGTACTTCAAGGCTTGGAAGTCATTATGGATAGCGTGTCCTACCACAATCTTGTCTTTCAAGATCTTCAGGATCTGGAAGAGTGAGAAAGGGTTAGACAGGTAGTGCAGCATAAGAAACACCAATCAAGCATAAAATAAATGTTTGTATTAAATTCAGCTCCTTCACTTCTAGTTTTTAGGTTCTCAGAAGGGAGCAATAACAAGAAAACTAATCCACTGCACAGCTTCAGACATTCCCTGTCCTGTATTTATTTCTCTGCCTCAGAGCAGCTCAGTACAGGCCACAAAATATCCCAATTTGTGTCTGGCAGATAACACACAGCCTTTTTTTTATGTTTTATTTCTTTTTCCTCACCTCTGCCTGGGCAGCCTTGAAGGGAATTGCCTTTTTCATGTGCTGCTTGGTGATGCCACTCCAGCGTGTCCGATAGTCCACAATGGGGAGCTCAGGCTGGACATACTTGTCATAGATGACATCCCCCTCATAGTTCACCACAGAGCACCGTGCCAGCTCGCTCAGCCTGCCCTGAGGGCCAGTACCCACCATCTCACAGTCAATGGCCACATACTTCCCTGGGCGCAGGACTAGGGAGGACGTCCGCAACCCCTTGGGGCTGCCATTCCCATGGGACAGCAGCACAGAGTGGTGCCTGGCTATGCTGTCTGGAGAGGCAGATGGGGACAGGGATGAGGAGACGACCTGTTTTCCCTTGGAGACCTTGCCACAGCGTGGTGATGTGGTGCCATTTGCCCTGGTGGGTGTGGTGTGTGTCTGACCACCCAGGCACCCACGGGTGCTCAGCAACCCCTTCTGCTCCAGCAGTGCTCGGCGCTCCAGGAACCGCTGGTGCTTACGGCTCTTCTTCTTGCTTCGACTCTGCAGTGAGCTGGGACCCTTTGGGGCCTGAGCATAGCCCCCGGTGGGGGAGTCATGGGTGTCCTGTGGAATGGGTGCAGAGACCTGCGGGGCGGGCAGCACCAGGGTCATCTGCCCTTTGCCAGGTG